AGGGTTAAAGATTGAGGAAGTGAGAGAAGGAGCTGAACTCCAGCCTAAATTCTAATTTTCTGCTCTCCAATGCCCCAGTAATAGCTTGGCTATTGTGGTAGAGTCCACCAGGAGGCACTGTGTACTCCTTATCCTGCAGGGACATGGATGGGGTATAAGTTCCCATAGTGTTAGGTTATTCTGAACCTATCAAGCAATATTAGAGAAAAACCCAGAAGCTAGAGTGGAGGAAACACAGACGTTAAGCATCTAACCTAACAGAAAATCCATCTTCTTAAACTATGCCCACATTTATTGATAGATAGCCACACTCAGCTCTCCAAGAGAAATCAGATGGCAAAGATAATGAAGAATTTGGGCCTAAACACAGCTCTGTCTAAGGCGTGCTTTACTTCTCTCTTCATACACTACAACTGTTCACATCAACAATGTTGAATAAATTGTTTATCCCTAGGTCCCCCTAGCCATAAAGACAATCTAGTTTGCTAATGAAATCATTCATTGAAAAGATTCGTGCAGGGAGTGGTGCCTGTGGCTCAAAAGGGTAGGGCTCCGGCCCCATATGCTGGAGATGGTGGATTCAAACCCAGCCCTGGCAAAAAAAAAAAAAAAAAAAAAAAAAGAAAGAAAGAAAGAAAGAAAGAAAGAAAGAAAGAAAGAAAGAAAGAAAAGAAAGAAAAGATGCATGCTGGGGGTGACAAAAATATGTAATGTATACACATTTTAAGAAAAGAAAAAACTGTATTAAAATTGAAACACTTAACACGTACTGATAGTTTGTTATCCTGGGTATTGTGTCTCTTGTATTTGCAGATATCAATTAATGACTTGAGTATTACAATTTTAATACAGATTTTTCCTTCTCTTAAAATGTGTATACATTTTTGGGGGGAGCGCCCTCTGTTTAGATAGGACAGATTCTTAGAAAGACCAAGATTTCTAGGAAAGCCTGGTATGCCGCCTGGGGAATTTTCTGAAGATTACAACTGGAGTTTTCTTTCCTACATTCTGATTCTTGTCCTATCAGAGAGGAGGGCACTTCCCACTTGATTCTTCTGACTATCACCCATAATCTAACCTTGAGCAATCTACTCTGTACGCTGGACTTGTCCTGTCTGTCTCTCTCCCCCTCTCTCTGCCATTTTAATTCAGCTGCTGTTACTCATATCTCCTCACCCTCAATGCAGCCCTTAGCCCCTCAAGGTAGAATCAGAAACTTCTAATTAGTCTTCTTATATCCATGGTCTCCCATATCATATTACACCCCAGTGTGATAGCTTGGTAAATCTAACACTATAATTTCAAATTATTAGTCTCATCCTTAGGTCAAGTCCTGAAGTCTTCCTTAACTCTCTCTCCGGCTTTATCCCGCATCACATGTATGTAATTCCATGGTACATGAATATGACATGGAAACTCCCTGTATCTCATGAGTGTATTTCTAAAAATGTTTAAAGTCGGTGAGTAAAAAAATGCCTGAAGATTTGTAAGCAAACCTAGAAACCAAATGAGAAGAACTTAATGGAAAATACTGTATAAATTATGACACATGGTGTCTAGGCAACATAATCGTTGCTAAGAATGGGGGGATCATTTGTCATTTTTCTAAGAGCAAGTTATTTCTGAAGCAGGGGAGAGCCATTATTTCTTGTGACCTTTAAGACTCTGTGTGTAGAGTCTCTGTTTTAACACTCTGAGAAGCTGTATCCTGTCTAAGGTCTGTCTATAAAGGAAAACAGACAGCTGTTCAGCAGCTCAGCAGCCTCAGGTGTCTCTGTGGGATGCCCTAGGAAACAAAAAAAGCCTGGCTCCCCCTGCTGGGTGTAATTTTATGAACTCTATAGGAGAATTTCTTTATGATCTTCTTTTCTCATGTACACAGTGTATGCTGATGATTGTTTTGCAAACCAGTTCTCATGATATATTTAGAAATCTCAAGCCTTAGCAATCATAGAACTTTAGAGCTATGTAGGATATTTGCGCCTCTCCACAAACCTTCAAAAGAAGCCCATCTCCTGTTAGGATACTGTGAATAACGCTACATAATGGGAAAATATATCCTACGATTACTGTTTTAAATTTTGTTTTGCTGTGAGCTCTGTATGTTACAATTAAAATAAACATTAATGTTATTTTAATGGCCCCACCAAGCCCCACCTGGACTTTAGACTTTAGAGCAAGGAAGACATCATTCATTCTAGTCCGATTTCCCTTATAACAATGTTCTTTCATCCATAACTGGCCGCATCCTCTGTGAGGAAAATGCCTCTATTGATTCTATCTATACCTTCTGCAGGATTTGTGTGCCTGCCAGCCAAACATTTAATGGTGTGGCTGTTTTAGTTTAATTTCCCTTATTTGCTTCCAAATATGGTGAGGGAATGCAAATGAAAATAAGTAAAGGTAAATTGAATTTACACTTTCTTAAAACCAAACAATCATTATGACCTGAAAATTATACCTAATAATGACCTGAAATTATACATTGTTCTTTATTATGCTTCAGTGAATATCTGATTTAAAAATATTTGATCTGTATCATACACGTCCAATGATTTGTGAAACTTTTTGAGTAACTTAACATGGGATTCATTCTATGTCATAGCTGCTGGTGGGCCCTGATACATTTTAGAAGATATGAGAGTAGGGGTAGCACTGGGACACTTTCCCATCAGAAGTGGCTTGTTGCCAAAATTCTATATTTTCCAACTTCCACACTCCAGGAATTTTGCTAACAGGAAGTGCACCTCACCTGAAAAGCTAACGTCTTACAACTCATGTTGTAGTTTGAATACCCATGACCCAAAAATACTTGTTAGTGACCTCTGAACAGAAATCTTTCCAGGGTCTTGGTAATCATAGGAAGAAAAGAGTTTCAAGATGTGCCACAGAAGCCAAGCATGCACCAGCTATTTTTATTGAAAGCAAAGTGACAGAGAGAGAGAAAAAGAAAGAAAGAGGGTGAAAGATAGGCTCAAAAAGAGTAGCTGGCCGAAGTGCTGGTAGATCTTTCAGAGTCTTGCTAATTGAGGGGAAGAATATTTAAGGACAGGGGTTGACTTTTACTACGAATTTAGGTGGTAATTCCTAGAATTGGTTTCCCTCTCATTTTCATACTTTATATGGTGGTCTCAGAACTGTCATGGTGTTTTCAAAGTGGAGAAATTTTAAAACCACAATGTAAGTGATATTATAATTAGCCAGAGTTCAGTAGGGTTGCAGAGATGGCCATCAGGCTAGTTGAATAGGGTTCTTTGCCTCCAGCTATCAGCCCCTCCGTTTAGCCTCTGCTTGAGGGTTGTTTAGTCTAACACCTGCACCCAGCCTGCAAGCCGCTGCATCTGGTCTCAGCTCTGCTCCTAGTCTCCAGTGTTCACACTTCCACAGGGTGGTGGAAACAACTCCAAGCAGAAATGAAGGTGAAGTAAAGGGGAATCAAAGGAAAGAGAAAAGAAAAGAGGAAGAATCTTTCTTCACCTATCTCCTTGGAAAAAATCACATAAAGTAGTCACAGGACCCATGAAAGGATCTCATATACTGTATTTATAAACTATAAAATAATGGAATTGCATTTGTAAGAAAAAAAAAAAGTACCAAACTACAAATAGTATTCACTGGATTATTATCATCAGTACTAGGACTAATACTTTTGCTTGTTTTCTGTTAAGGTGACATATTTGTTTGACAATGGAGGGACAGTCTTCTTTGCTATCTTTATGGCCATTTGGGGTAAGTATGTTCTTTTATTACTTTCTAGCCCTTGTTTTCTGGCACTATTGCTGTGTTTCCTATACACACACCCCATGTATCGATTCACCAATAATGTCTCTAGGTTGGTACTCGCTTTGTTTGCCCTCGTATCACTGCTTCTTTGAGAATTCAACTCTTGATCTCACCCTCTGACCTAGACCTCCCTCCACTGAGAAGCATGTCTCTCCTGTGAAAGCAGGTGATAATTAAAAACAAACTGAAACATCCCAACATCCAAATTAAGATTCTTGTATTATTATTCACGAAAATAATGCTCAGGAAATTTGTAATATTTCCATTCACCTCTTGTAACCTTATGCTGTATACATTTTGAGCTGCAGAATCTATCCCATGCCTCATTGAGCACAACCTAACCATTTAAAATTGTACAAATTACAGGTATATTCTTTGCCTGATTTTTTCCACCATGTTTCTCTTTGGGTTTTTAAGGCACCTAGTGAATTAAAGCTTAAAGAATATTTAGACAAGTTGAAATTCCTCAATGTTCACAAGATTCTTAGAGAAGAAGCTACTGTCCTTATTAGGGCCAGCTTTCCTTCTGTATCGGTGTTGAATGGAGTCATTGTCAACTTGGCAATGCAAGGGGCTGATCATGTATGCACTGGTCCAGAAAATGTAATGTTCTAGAACATAGGTCTCTTGCTCTTGTTGCCTTAATTTCCCCAGAACAGAAACTCTGGGTTAAGGAAAACTCTTTCTAGCTTTAAATTCATGTTTTATTATTATTACTATGATTATTATTTGTAAAAAATCACTTTTCCAATTTTCCTTCAAGAAAACGCTAATCTTGTTTTATGATACCAGGAGTGCAGGTACAGCAGTGAAAAGCCAACTCCATTGGTTTCCATCAAAAGCCCCAATAAATAACAAAATATAGCTTGGAGTTCTTATTTTTATAGAAAGAGTTTTATTATTGAATTATTGAGCAGGGCTAGTAGGATATAATCTTTTAATTTTATCTATTTCCATAAACATTTCCTACTATGAAAAAAATGTCTACAATACAAATTAAGGTTACATAACAAATGCTTCAGCATGGCCAAAAATTATAAGAAAGGAAACCTTTCAGATGATTTATGCTGTGTTTCTGCTACTAGTCTCACATTTTTTAAATTCTCCTTGGCACAATCCACTTGACAGTGACCTTGTGTAACCTTCTGGGAGATGAGTTTCTTAAAAAGCAAGGATGGAGAGGGAACTTGCTGCTAGCAGCCTTGTTCCTCCTCATTTTACACCGAGGTGCGAAGTGGAGGTATATCATCCATGGGAATGCTATCCCGGGCATCTTCTCGGCCTTCCGGCCTGGATGAATCATTCCCAGCTGGGTTGTAGTAGCTAGAATTTCCAAAACTCACATCATAAGGTTCTGGTGCATTGTCTAATCGCAGCACTGCAAAAGGAACGTGACAAACAAAATTGTCATGGTGACAGTCTGAAAGATGCATCTACCTGATTCTAGATGAGGAACTAGGTATGGGTTTTATGTGGGATTTTCAGATTTTCGTTATAAAACGTGAAATAAGCAGATGTTTTTCAAGTTGCATTTCTTTCTGAGACTAAGAGAATGGTTCTACTTCCAAAACTGGTGGACCATCAGTAAAGTAGCTAGGGAAGAGATCACAACAAAAGTATATCAGTATGTGATATAAAGAATTGTAGGCGTAGGCTTCGTTGACCTTTGAACCTGGTCATTTCAGGGCCTTGTCAATACTTTTTTTAACTTCTGGTTTAAAAAGTTTTTTGAAAAAATAAGGTCTTATTTTTAAAATCAATTTTGTTATTTTACCAATGTCACTATTCAAGGTCAAGACATTTAAGATAAAGAAAGAAGGAAAAAAACATTTTTGAAAGCTTATGTTTCTTTCTTATAGATCTAAGCCATTATGCCCTTAAGGTTTTCTGATTAAAGACATAGGGATTTTTTTTCCCCTTTTAAGCAGATAGCCAGTGATTTCCTTATCAATATGAATTTATTTTCAAAGGAAAACTGAACATGTACTACGTATCTTGAAGTATTAACTAATTAAATTGGTAATCTATTCACTTAAGATCATCGTATGTTTACCTATCTATTTCTTAAGCCATGTGTTTACAAACAGGCCTCCCAGGAATATAGGTATATAGGAGAAGTGTCTCAAAGCTTTGATCATATTAAATTTGATAGATTGAGTTTTTCCATGAGATTATATGTAAAAAGGATCTTAGGTTAAAAAAAGTTTAGAAACCACTGCTGATAGAAAGTCTATTCTTTAATTTTGAAGAGCATTACTTTTTGTTGTATATGGATTACTAGAAACTCATAAACAGAATTCAATTAAAATTACAATTATTGAATTAGGTTCCAAATATGAGAAATACATCAGTCATAATCAAATTTATCATAACTCTTTAAGATTTCATTGATGAAAAAGCATTTACCTATTTGTCACAGTGACAAGAGTTCCTTGTATAAACCAGAAAACTTTTTTTCCTGGAGTATAAAAATAGATATGTCAAGTTATCTATTTTTTTGTTTCTGTTCTAATTGACATAATATTATTAAAGATCAAATTTGCTGCTTTATTTTTAGCATACATAGCTTTCTTACATAGATTTTATGGTTGGACTTTTCTATAAGTGGAAAATTCCTGAATTAAGATACATTGTGAGTTTATGTGTATAAATGTGCACATTTTAGAAACTCTTTTTTTTTTTTTTTAATTTCAGGTTATTGTGAAGATACAAACAACCAGGTCACAATTTTTGAATTTTTTAGGTAGATCCCTCTTGTAGTTGTGTCCCGCAACCTACAGGTGTGCCATACAGCCCTACCTTGCGCCTTTTAAGTGGAAGCACTCCAACCCTCCCTCCTTTCCCCCTTCCTTGTTCCTCTTCCCTCCAACTTGAATAGAATTAAGTTTTTCTCCTGTATGAGCATGTGTTAGAGCATGTGAAGAAGAATGTGTTTCAACTCCATCCAGGTTACTACAAAAGATGTAAAGTCATCAGCTTTTCTTATGGCTGATAGTACTCCATGGTATACATATACCATCATTTGGGAATCCTTTCCTGAGTTGATGGGCATTCAGGTAGATACTCTCTAGTAAATCATTTAGATGATTCATGGAAGTTTACTGTGTCTGGGTAAGCTTTAGAGGAGGTCCAAATTAGAACACATCTCTGTTCAAATTAAAGCTGCTTACAGACCTAACAATGGCAATAACCTTGCTTGTAGTCACTTGCTAACACAACAGCCATTTTTTTCTTACTACCATATCATTATCTTCCAATTTTATACATATGTTTCAGATTCTGGAATTATTATTTAAAATTATTTTTTATGCGATAAGCCGAAGTTCCAAATGTTTTTAAACTTCACTCACAGGTGTACAATTTGATAAACCAAAGCCGCATCAGAGTCAATCCTTTGTGTCCGTCGTATAAATTCCCGAATTCCTTCTAGGCGATGTAGCCAACATTGGCCTTCTCACTTCATGAAAACCATTCTGCTCAGATGAAATTTTGAAAGTAGCTCCTTACCTGGTTCATTTCTGTCATCGTACAGTCGCCGATGGGAAAATGAATCCATTTTCCTTTTTCCACACAACACGTAGCCAACAAGTGTAAGCAAGGAGGCACCCAGAATAGCACCTAAAATGGCCCCAAATATGATTCCTGTGCTTCTGTTCTCTAGAGACGAAAGAAACATGTCAGAGCATGAATAGAAAATACTTATGCAAAGAACAGAAATAATATGCATATGGACTTTATATAGACCATAGACTGTTTAATAAAGGTTTCTTAATCAGATAATAGTGAGATAGTGTGAACGAGTCTGGAGGGAGTGTGTATAAAGTACTACGTGCAGTCTGTTGGCAAAATTAACATCCATAGTACTGAAACGCTGTGTGTATACTCCGTGAGATATAACTTCCTGTTGAATGCTATATTAAGTTTTTCATAAACTCTGAATACGATGAACTTTAATGATGAAATGAACTTTGAACCTATTTCTATAAATTCAAGAGTATCAAGCTAATAGGAGTGATAAGAAGCGACTCCCCCAAACCCCAAGTAAAAAGGCACTATAAAGAAAAAGCAGTCAGAAGCAGGTTATTTCTGGATCCAAGAAAGAGACCAAAGCAAGATGTTTGCAATGCCTTGCCCAAGAAAAATAGCTTTTATAAGGGAATCCAGAGTATCACTGTATCATCATTTTTACTGATTTTTGTTGATACGGAGTTATCAATAAACTCTTTAAAACGCTCCCTGAACTCAAATTTAGTGTATTTTCTTTTCCATATTTTCCTTCTTTGAGAAGCACATAAATTGGGTAGGCAAGGGGCCTACATGGCCTCTGATTTATATAAAGCAACATTTCTTTAAATAATTAACTTTCATGTTGTAGTATGATAAAATTGATACTAAAATAGAAGAAGTTAACTAAATTACCTTTAGCTAAACGAACAACGGCAGAGGTACTCATTAGTCCCAATATGTAGATTAGGTTTAGATGGAGAAAATAGAAGTGATATTTTCTGAAGTACTATAGGAGTTTGTATGTATGACAGGATGTGTTATAATCACAGCTTAAATGAAAATATGTGTATCTATACAGTACATTGATTGCAGTGCTATAATAAAGCCTAGGTTTTAGAATTTATAACATTTTCTATAAGCTGGCTATCACTTTCAAATAGCAATTGTATATGATTTTGTTTTTACATTATTAATATAACCTTTAAGTAAGTTACACTGCAAGTCAGTAAGTTCATGGATAAAAAACTGTAGTCTTAAACAAAAAAAAAAAATCAAGAAAGGGTTGCACCTGTGGCTCAAAGGAGTAGGTGCCAGCCCCATATGCCGGAGGTGGCAGGTTCAAACCTAGCCCTGGCCAAAAAGTGCAAAAGAATAAAAAAATAAAAATAAGTAAATAAAGAAAAAATAAACACAATTAGGCCTGAAAAACAAAACACAATAAAAGCATTATTCAATCTTGGATTTCTTTCCTGCTTTATGTTTAAAAATTTGACATAATCCCTAAATCAAGTATAAAAATGTCAACGTAAGAAATTTTTGCGATAGTGTCACATAATTTATAAATTCGTTTATTTTGTTTAATTTTTCAAAACTCGCACAGGTATTTTTAAAGTTCAGTCTTATCGTATTCTTATAACCATGTGAAATTCCAGGAAGTCTTTAAGGTTCAGTGAAAGCTGTTCCCTGGTATCTCACACTGCCTCCACCTTTTCTCAACCTAACCTACTTCAGATTTTCACTAGTATATGTTTACTCAAGCTCTAAAACTACTTCACTATTTCCAACAAATATCCTCATAATACCTTAAAAGTAAGAAACGACCTGTGCTGTGGCGTTCTCTAGTTTGCTAGCAGGACTTATTTAGTGATTCAGTTCCACACAAAAAGAAAGTTAAATTCATTTCTATTTACCTTTTTGGGGACCTGACGTATTTGGGAAGAGTTTTGAATTATTGGTGAATTTTAAGGTCGGCTGTAGAGTGGTTTTTTCTGGATAGGGGGTGAATCCAGCAAAGCTTTCGCTGTCTGTGGTAAGCCATCCAGTTTGTTCTACTATCCCAGGTGTCACAGACTTGCTAGTTGGTTCTGGAGGAAGGAGGCCAACTGTACTGGAACTATTGTCAGGAGGTTTCGTGGTATCATTGGCCAAAGACCAAGTGAAGTTTTCTAGAGGTACGGTAGGTGTAGTATCAGGAGAAGACACCAGCAAAGGATTTTTGTCTGTTATAGATGCATTCCAAGGCAATTTAGAAACATACCCGTGCACCAAAACAGGGGTTGTAGAAAACATGGATGTGGGTTTTGGAGTCCCCGAAAAGGTCTCTGTTGACAAGTTATGGGAAATATTTTTCATTGCATGCATGTCATTCAATAGGTCCAAAAGAGGGGAATGACTTGTGATAGGATTTGAGGTGTTCAGATTTTTCTCATTTGGATTTGAAGTGGCTTCACTCACCAAAGAAATAGGTTGATTTCCCACTGTTTTCAAACTTTCTCTAATGCTTTGTGTTGTGTTTATTTCTGGATTTTCGTCCCCATAGCTCCCAAATAGTGGTGAACTGAACAAAGTTGAAATCAACAGAATTCTGACTAAGGTCAGCATGGCAGCCTTCTTTGGTATTGGATTTATTAAATGGGCTCTGAAAGAAAAGAATCATTTACATTACTAAACAAGATATTCTTAGTATTAAATAGATATTTATGTTTTAAAGTGATAAAAATCAAAAGAAGTCATTGAGACCATATGTTCTTTAATCAAAAAAAATGAAAGATTCTCTTGGATATGTTCTTAAATCAGGGTCATTGAGTTTTATTTTCTATGTAATATTTCTTTCTTCCTTCCTTCTAGGGAAATCCCATGCAAAGGCATTGTCAAGCCAGACTACTATTTCAAAGATTATTTAGTTTGGAGCAAGTGGAAATATATACACACACATCTCACACACACACACACACACACATTATATATGTCTACATACAGTATAAAACTGTATGTGTGCTACTAAGTAAAATTTTAAAAATATTATAAAGATAGGACAGGAACAGCTGACTGGTTTCTTCAATTTAAATAAATGTTCTTTATAGAGATATAATTTGAAATATTTATTATGAAAGTTACATTTCTGATTACACACGCTTTTTCAAGCGGATATAAGTGAGAAATTTCCTTACATCTACTTCATTAGTCTTTGGTCTGAATTGTTTGAATTTTAAATTAGCATGTCGTTTTTCACAATACTTTCCATGTCATGATGCCCTTCTACTAAATCCCCAGTTGAGGAGAATTAGAAGACCTTCAGATATTATAATATTCCTTAATCTTACTCCCTTATTTTATGAATGAAGACTATGGTTGGAGGCGTGTGTGGAAAACTTCACCTGGCGAGGTAAGGGCAGGTGTGAAACTAAGGGCCCTGACCTCCAACCCAGGTCCATTATTAGGCCTCCCGTGTACAGAAGTGGTACAATTCATAAACAGAATCTAAAGAGAAAGGTTTTGGAATCAGGTTTATATTAAAATTCTGGCTTTTGTCACAGCTTCTGAACAATAATCATCATAATAACCAGTTGCTTTATCATCATTATAATAAGCAAACTGACTGCATAGTTCTGTTCTGGAAATTAAATGAAATGTCTTCAGTGGAAGCACTCCAAAAACTACCTAGCCTAAAGTAAGCACTTAAGAGAAGTTAATAACCATTTATTATTCAAATATAATATCTCTGTAGTGTCTTCCAGGTTACAAAGTTTATTGTATCATCTCACTTGATCCTCACAAGAATACCTTGAGGCAAAAAGAATAGCTTGAATTGTACCCATTTTCCAGATAAAGAAGCTGAAGCTCAAAGTGGCCAGAAAAGGAATCTAGTGAATGGAAGAGGTTGGATTCAAAGCCAACTCTACTGACCCCAGTTTAATTAGGGGCTAAAATTAAAAGTGCTTTTAATAAAAATCTATAATTTTTTAAATTAAACTAGCCCTCCTTGAGCAGTAGACTCTGAGCATTGATGATGTTCTTTGACTCAGACCTTATTTTTCACTAAAAGCTTTCAGGCTGAGATAGCAAAAGGCCCCATACTTTCCTGACGTTTCCTGAGTGTGATCCTTGAAATTTGTACAAATATTGTCTCCCTTGCTGTTTTTTCTTCTTAAAGTCTAAGGAGCCTTTCAATACTCCTACTGATTATCTTTTGGTTTTAAATGCTCACTTTTATGCTTTTATGTATGATTTTCTGCATAGTGGTACAACTTAAATATATCTGTCCTACATCCTGACACAGTATTTTTCTTCCAAAGCTTTTAACAAGCTGTGTTGTCCATACCTGTGGATTCCTAATGTTTTAGAGATTTAATACCTTCAATCTCCTATGCTTTTTGTTTAAGGAAAGTCTACTTAAAAAGAAAGGCAGGCAGACATACAAGAGCATTAATAGCAGCATTATTTACAGGAACCTCAAACCTAGATGTCTGTTCTTCACAGGTTGGGTAATGAGTTAGGGTATATTCAGACAGCAAAAGTTAACAAATTAGTGCCACATGCAACAACATGGATGGTCCTCACAAACACAAAGCAGAGCTTAAAAAGCCAGTGGTGCTGTGTGGTTTCATGTGCTGTGGATAAAGGTCAAAGTCAAAAAGCAGTCATGTCAGAAGTGGGTAAAGTGGCAACTTGGGAAACTAGAGAAATGTATTGACTGGGTGAGACTTTGGGGGCTGGTGAGACTTTGTCTCTTGACCCGATTGTGATTACGTCGGGTTTGTGTTTGTGATCATTCTGCTTATTTTATCTCATTCACTTTCCTGTGATGTTTCATTCACTTTTCTGATCTAGGTCCTAAAAATGTTCAGCGTGATTGGAAAAGGTAGGACTCATGCATTTGTTGTCTCCGCTGCTTTAGGCATCTTCCATTCAATTATTTCCCCTGAACAATGAATCAAACAATGAGGAAGGATGAATTGTGTTTTGCAGGTGATAGAGTAGAGCATAAAGAATGGATATAGTGTGTCCAGGGACACACAGTGCATGACCAGGAGAAAGGGTTAAGATTCAAACCTTGGCACGTGGGAGAACTTATCTAACAGATGCTTCAAAGGAGCTTTTTAGAAATTCTTCCAACCATCATTTTTTTAGCATGGTCACTCTAAATTTAATTGTTCTCACCAGAGCAATTTGTCATCCTATTTTTTTTTAACCACTGGAAATGTGGGCCTCCTAACTTCAAAGTACACGTCAAATACACAAACTACACTTTCTCCTTAATTTAAGAAAATCCTAACAACTGTCTCTATGGGTCTGCCTGGATACCTTTATCGGGTAGTTTCACATTGGTATTTATCAAAACATGAGTGATTATCCCTGGATACAGTTCCAACAATATATATTTTTTTAATGTATGCCTCACCTAGCACATGTGAAATACAAGTCAGTGTAGTGTAAAAATAGTTGTGTGTACCTTTTTAGAAGCATCTTTCTCTTTGTAAACTCTGTAAAGTTCATAGCAAACCTATGCGTCTTTTCCATTATCTGCTGCTAGTGGTCTGATTTGTGAATGTACTTGGCCATTCTTTTTCACATGATTATGCCGTTCGATTTGCTTTTTTTGATGCCTAAATGTTTTGCTTATTTTCTCTGCCTAATGAAGTGGTCACTAGAGGGGAAAAAGCCTCTCAGCCTGTTCTTCTAGTTCTTGTCCAGCATTACGTATGAGGAATGTAGCACTGAGCTTTCATTCCCCTCCTGTAATAAGAGTCCACAAAGTGAGTTTTAACTCTTTCTGTTTCACCTTGCCTGGAACATTGAACCACCAGGGGGATGTCTCACTCCTTCACCCCGTGTTTGATTGCAATGTGAAAACCTAGGGTGTCAATACCCCAAACAAGCCAAGCATTTTGTTACTGCCCATAATTTATCTCTTGGGAAAAATGAGAGAAAGGGAGGAGGGGATGAGACAGTATGTTATGAACACTATTTGTAGTTCATTCAGAAATTAATACAGCTGCAGATAAGGGTTTTGTGAAGGCTGATTTCTTCCCGTTGTCTGGATAGTGTGTGGGGGGAGGGAGGGGCGTGGGGGCTCTGCTTCTTAGAGAACCATGTTCCACCTCCTTCATCTTAAAGGCATCAAAACAGCTGGGAATGGAACCCATCGGCTATTCACAACTCCAGCCCTGAAATTTTGCTGGAGCAAGAATTAGGTGATTTTGGTTCAATGTGACCCCGTCCTGCATTGAACACAGCACATTGGAAGCAGCAAAAGCTCATGGAAGTGCTACAGAAATTGCAGAGAGCAAACCATGAAGGGAAATCTATGTATTTTTGTTTCTGTGTTTCCCTCTAAGCCTCTCTCCATTACCAAATGTGCACACGTCAATATTCCAACCTTGTTATATAGTCCTTACTTAAGGCTGAAGTTATGCTGGGTCTGGAGGGCATGCACCAGTGTGCCCAGATTCAGCCGTCAGCCAGGTGCGCTGTGGGGGCAGACAGAAGGTGGGATGAGAAGAAAAGTAGAATTGTCGAGGAAGAGAATTCAGAAGTAGCAAACCGGGTCAATTCTCCTCCTGATCTTTACCTAAGAACTTCAAAGGCCTAAGATCATCCCAAACTTGAAAAACTTCTGAGGGTAGAATTACTATAAAGCAAACAGAAAAAGCAAGCAGATTTTCAGCCATTTCATGATACCTCAAATACAGATTCTAAACTTTCCTGTATGGATTGAAAGAGTTTTATTGTTTTCTAGCCTTTAACCACTTTCAAAATATATTTTTAGAGTGAGTTTCACTTTTGTTAAACAATTCCTCTGCACAAGGAGCATGAACAGGACTTTTCTCCTCGTTCTCTGGTGTTGGCTCTGGAAAGGTGGTTTCACATTACTACTTTTTGTATGGAGGGCTGCAGAGGATGGTGAGAGGAGAAAAAAAAAAAAAAAAACTCTGAATTTGTAACCAGTAAAGGAAGTTAATAATAATCGCTGTGGATAATTTTGCTTCCTATTAATTATATAAAATCATGATTGAAACTGAGCCATACCCACTTTCTACCAAGTTTTGGAATAAAGACATGCCCTGATTTGTGGCAGGTAGTGAACTCACTCAAGGACAAAAGAAATGAGCGTCCTTCTAAACTCAGTAAAAATCAGAAATTTTAGGTAAAAACATTAGTTCAGGTACACTGAGCAAATAATATAAAAAACATGTTGGTCTAGTGAAATAACTGATGACTATAAATTGGGCTACCCTTTCTCAATGTTACTTTTGATCCTTTCTTGTTATAGATCTCAGGATATAAATTAAGGTGGGTGGGTTTTATTTGTCTTGGCCCTGGGAAACTCAGTCTGCTACGTCGCTAGTGTCCGAGGCAGAACTTGAATATTATTCTGAACGGTCTTTCCAAACAATCTTGGACAGTATTTGTTTTCTCTAAATGAAAGGGCTACAGTTCCTGAGCATTTAAGAAATTGGGCTTCAAAAAAAATGCCTCCTTTCTAAGAGGTGTTTGGAACAGTGAAAAACCAGAAAAAGAATTGTGCCTATGCTTTTGAGTATAGAAACGAGAGAGAGAGAGAGAAAAGAAAAGAAAAGCAAAGCATGGCTTTCCTGCAGGGAAAAACAAATTTCAAAAGTTTATAA